TGGCTACCCAAAAAGCATGTTGTGTGAGTCGACTAACTTGGGGTTTCTTTCGAAGTCTGGGTGCATCTGTCTGACAGGCAAGGAACTAACAGTCTGCATATAGATAAGCTAGATCGTTTCTTTATTTCCCAGTGGAGCAGGCAATACTCTGGTTCTGTAAGACGACTAAATTCCGGAGATGGACGAATAACAAGAAATTTTCGCTGGAAAAATACGGGGATTTGCTTTAATTTGTTGCTTGCTGAGTCATACATACACATCAGTCGTGCCGTTTCCACAGTGAAAGATAGCTGCATTGTAGTCAGCGCTGACTATAGGGATGTTATGTGGCGAGATCCCGTCTGTTCAAGCTGTGACTCTGATACCAAGGTCTGAACGGATCTTTTTTTTTTGAACCGTCCACGAGGAAATCGAACCTGGTAAACGCCACAGAGAAAGTTAAGGACAATTTACCACGCCTTCAGGCTTACTGGGCATATAGGGCTAGACCTATATTTTATAGACCAATTTGCACTCAATGGGTAATGTGGTCAACATCACGCCGGCTGCCTTTATTTCCTAGGATTTTACCTGGTACCCATTTAAGGCTGACTCGAGCTGGGAGCCGGGACATTAAAAAAAAATGGATTTTCGGCTTTGTTCGGATTTTAAACCACGACCTCCCGATCCGCATGCGGGCGTCTAGCCGCTACATAGAAGCGTCTCTAAAATGCTACAGAGTCACAAAACAATTAAAAATTCAAGAAGTGTGCTTCACATTTTATTCTCAACAGGTCGTATATTGTGTACAGTTGAACGAGCTAAAATTATAACCATTGTGGCAGCAGCTTTCGCCATTTTGTGTACATCCCCGGAATTCTGGGAGATGGAAGTTACGTGGGAGATCAAAGACAACCAGTCAGTTCCGGTGGCCACGTACACGGACTTTGCCAACCAGGCCGGTTACGCTGTGGGGTACTACTGGTTTCTGGTGGTCATCTTCACTTTGTTACCTTTGACCCTGCTCTGCGTGTTCAACGGGATTTTGATTGTGACTGTTGTGCGGGCGGCGGAGATGAGGAAGCAGCTGACTTTACTCACACCGGTCAGGTAAGATATTCTTTAGAGTTTAGTTAAAGCTTGGGTACCTACCTGTGAGTGAAGTTGAAGCTCTCACTAGGATCGCATATTGAGCGATTAACATTTGGCTACCCAAAGTACAAAGCGTCACTTTTCAGTTCCCAGGCATAAATCCTCGTTCAACCAAAGGTTATATCATAGGGCCGCTGACGGTCACGTACTTTAAGTACGATAGGTAAAGATGGCGGAGTAAACAAAAGTCGGTTAACATTCTGTGGAACGAAAATGTGTGTTTTTGTGTGTTATTAAACATCAGTGTGTATAAATAAGGGTGATCCTGTGACAGGTTCAGCAAGCTGGTAGAGAATTTATTTGTTCACGGGAAATCGCTCAAGAATTATGGAGGAATTTGAAGAAAAAGGGTAATTCGAACAGCGTTCACATCACGCACACGACCAACAAGAAGTTTTCGGGTAGCTAACGTGCACTGGATCGCAAATTAATCCTCCCCACGGCGCTTAACGGCAGAAGTGGTTTACGATGATTATGATGCCTTTAATGATGTAACTCAATAATCTTGAAAAACCCGTGGATGGTGATTCCCCGTTCTTACTTGTTCGTGTCGTTATTGCAACCTTTTTATGATCTTCCTCCTCCTATCTCATCGTGCAGCATCGTCATAATAATTTTCATCATCTTTATCATCTCCTCCTCCTTTCCCCCCCCCACCCCATGTTCTCCACCTCCTTCTCACATTCATCATCCCACTTATCCCACTTATCCCACTTATCCCACTTATCCCACTTATCCCACTTATCCCACTTATCCCACTTATCCCACTTATCCCCTTTATCCCCATGGTCAGTATCAATATGACCATCTATGTCAATAATATCATCTCCATTGCTATCATCGTCATGTTCGTCTTCTATTTCTCCTTCACCATCGTCCGTCCGCATCTTCATCTGCGTCATCTGTCTTCTTCGTTGTCTTTTGGTTAGTGTTGAGCTGTTTTTGTCTTCTTTTTGTCTTCTTTTTCTCTTCTTTTTGTCTTCTTCCTTCTAAAATAGACGCCTGTTTACTTCAGTATTTTCTAACCTAAAAGCACAGCAACCTTACGCATTCACCTGTTGTTGACAGCTCAAGTCGCTTCCTACACGGCCGCAGTAGTGACGCCCCTAGCAACGCCAGGACCGTCCCCTGCCAGCCTCGGGAGCAGCAGAAGATCACAAAGATCCTCATCACTATTGTCATTGTCTTCATCGTCTGCCAGATCCCTGGTGCCTTGTTGCTCTTGTATAAAACGTACACCTCCCTTAGGAACCTTCACATGACCCGGTAAGGCAGTCAGTCAGTCATCTTGTAGTTTTTGTTACCCTTTTGTTTTTGTTCTTCAGTTTCCAGTGGAGCATAGGACCCGGAGCTGTTTGCTCCAGCTTGCTTAGTTCTTTGACAATATTTAGAACCAACACAATATCATCGTTGCCATCATCATTATCATCATCCTCTCTGGGTTGTGAGACTCCATTTTGGAGAACAAATAATAGACCCATCACCCCCTACAAACATGTCGTAAGAGGCAATTAATTACGAGTGTTCTTTCCAAGTCGGAGTGCATCAGCGTGACAGGCAAAGAAACAACAGTCTGCAAAAAAGCAGTTCTGGATCTAGACTAAAGACCCGGAGTCTACGATTTACAAACGGTGAACGCCAAGATATTGGAGGGGAAGAAGAAGAAGAAGAAGAAGAAGAAGAAGAAGAAGAAGAAGAAGAAGAAGAAGAAGAAGAACAGCAGCAGCAGAATCAGCAGCGACAACAACAGAAGGAGAAGCAGCAGCAGCAGAAGCATCAGTAGTAGGAGCAGTAGCAACAGAAGCAGAATCTGTAGCAGCAGTAGCAACAGAAGCAGAAGCAGTAGCAGCAGATTACGATGATGGCTAGGACTCACGAGCAGCAGCTACTGTGGCTCCTGCAGCTTCCTCCAATAAATTTGCTCGTGAGTCCTAGCCATCTAGTTTAGCGGCGCGGGGATACTCTCGGAGGGGGCACTATAGTCGGCGATTAGCGGTCTGCAACTTACATATAACTCGGGCCGTGCCGTAGGATAGCGCTATCGGGAGTATTCTCGCGTGTCGGGAAATTTTTTCATGCGCAGTTAATCCTAGTTTTGCCGCCGTGTAATCGCCGTAAAAAAAAAATCCGTTGCGTTTCGCGAAAAAAAATGTCGTCCGCAGTTAATCCTACTTTTGACATGGTTGAATAGCCGCAAAAGAAATGCGAATTTTACATATGAGTGAGGCTCTGTTTAGGTTAACTGTCTGCGTAGTGAGGCTCTGTTTGGGTTAACTGTCTGCGTAGTGAGGCTCTGTTTGGGTTAACTGTCTGCGTAGTTCATTTGGGACCGTTAATGGGAAGAGAGCCAAGAGAGAGAGAGAGAGAGAGAGAGAGAGAGAGAGAGAGAGAGAGAGAGAGAGAGAGAGAGAGAGAGAGAGAGAGAGAGCGAAAGTAAAGGATAAGAGACTGAAAGTGTTTTAGCCTTTTTCATTTTGAAGACAGTACTTGACTGACTGAGCAAAGGAAACCTCTTTTCATCAAGTAAAGAAACCCTTTTTGCAAACCACGTCGCTAACACACATAGCTACGTATGTGAATAAAAACCACTATAATTAAACAGTGAACTATTTCTCTACAACACAGTGTCAGCTATGTAACTACCCATACGAAATTGTTGACCATCAACTCTTAGAGTGCCCACGACACTAGAAGTATGCCACTGTCTATCTCGGAGAGCACACAGGTGAAACACCTTGTACCGAGGAAGACAACAGCTTGTGAAAAACATAAATTTTACAAGCGGGTATTGGGCCAAAGGGCGAAAGCTCACGCGTAGCTTATGCGATAACAACAACAACAACAACTCTACAACACGGGCGTTACACTGCCTACTAACATTTCAATCAAAATAATGACAATCTAACATGCTATCACCCACTAACCGTCGCTAACTTGAGTCAGACACGCCGACGTCTAACAATCAAAACACCACACGTCTCCGTCCAAGTCATTCTGACAACACCCCCCCCCCCCCCCCAATCCTCCGTGCAGTCCGTTTTGTCCAGTCCACCGTTCACTGTGAACTCCGTCCATGCTCCCTTGGATCCTAGTCTCCCCTCGTTCATGTGGATGACGTGTAACACGATGGAACCTACCAACCAAATCTTTTTCTTAAATGTTTGTGAATTCTAGACAAAGCATTACGGTCTACTGTGTTTGTAAATTGTTGCTGTGTTTGTTAAGCAGCCCATCCTTGGTTAAAATAAATTGCTGTACTCTATTGTGCCATTTCAATGATTTGAGATGAATTTTATCCGTGTTCTATTGTTGTGGATTTTAAGCTGTACGATAGACATGTCCAAGAAAGACATATTTTTGGGGGAAAGGAAGGTGGGGAGAGTGTGCAGTTTGTCGTGTTCTTAGTATACTTGTTTCCATAGCGAGGCGCGCACTCCATTTGGAGGTGACAGGTTCGATTTCCTGCACGGTAACTATGGCTTTCGATATTAATGTTGTCTAGTGTGTCCTTTTGTCTTTCTATTTCTTTCTATGAGTGCCAACCAATACATTGTTTATTATATATATTCGGGAACTCCCGTGAGCTGTTGAAAACTAATCAACCATTCACCAACATCTCCCCATAGCCACACAAACTCTTGACATGTATAAACGAGACAACACCGAAAATGATACAGCTTCATAAACGATACAACACAATGATACAACTGCATGGACGATACCACCCAAATAATGATACAACTGCATGGACGATACCACCCAAATAATGATACGACTGCATGGACGATACCACCCAAATAATGATACAACTGCATAAATGGTACAATACCACAGACAATGATACAACTGCATAAATGGTACAATACCAC